CAAGCTCATGTTAACACACCGATCTGAAGAATTATTTGTTGTTTAAAGCGTCTCGATTGAAGAACAGCAACACGCATTTCCATACACAGCTTTTGACCGAACGCAGAGGTGTATTGCACTGCCATTTAAAACTTTTCATTCATTACAAATTATAAACAGCACTCTTTCATAAAATATACTCAAATAAACTTAAACCTTACGTGGTCGCTTTCACCATTTGACTTGACATCTGTTGTGCGGAGGAAGGAATTTGAGTTAGTGGGTTTTCGAATTTTATTTGTTTAGAAAACTGAATAGGGAGGTTTAAATCAACCGAAGAAGTGAGTACAAACTCCAACCGGCCATAGACTGTCAAAACACTGACAATAAACCCGCACCTTTTGATGAGAAAAAATGCTTTGAAGTTCGGAAGTTCACGAGGACGTGAAACAGGTCCTTCTCAAGTCCTCGACGTCGAGACGACGACAGAATTATTGGTTTGCGCAGTGACGTTCTTGCTACTTCCGGTCGTCGTCCTCTGTTCGTCGTCGTGGTTGCTTAAGCTCCCTAATATATCTTCCTGGACCGCGACAATTTTCGGAACCCACGACAGCCGGCTTTCCTACGACCCGCGACAATTTATCCGCGACCCACGACCCGCCCCGTTAAGATTCCCATCGATCTAGATTGTAAAGACTTAGTCGAATAATATTACACACACGCTAGGCTTTCCTTTTCTGTAATACAGAAAATACTGAGAAAGACTACTACCCACGAAATGCATCCTGGTAAAGCGTGGCCCTTTAAGACATTCACCCTTTAGAGAAGTTGTAGCTTTTTTGAGCGCGGTTGTTCTCCGCCCGCTGCAGTTATCTGCTCTGCATTTCAGCCAAAACTCAGGCCGTCGTTGATGATTTCTTCCCTCTAAAGACGGACCGGGAATGTCTTCTTCACTGAAATTAATTTAAAAACTCGCCGCAATTTTTACAACAGAACATCCGAAAAGATATATACAAGCTACGTAAGAACCCTCTCAGTTTCGCGATAAAGCGATCTACATTTCCACAATCCACAACCACTCGAACAAAACTTACAGACTCGTTTTCGTGAACTCGGTTCAGGTCTCAACAGCGCGTCTGCCATTTAGAATATTAAAGAAATTTAACTGCCGTTTTCTTCGAACGTTGGGAGCTGAATAATCAGTCTTTGGAACTGATTTTCATTGTATTTTGGAAGAAGCGTCCAAGCTGTGATCGCGTATTGAAACGGATCGAGTCCTTACAGTGTGCCCATAAGCACGCTGGTTAACACCATGGTAAGCGTAATTGATAGCCGCTATTTACAGTTTCAAATTCAAGAGCACTTTTTTCACATAATCTGAGCGCAGGACATGAATCTGTTTACGTAATCTAATGGTTATTTTGTGTTGAATTTATTGAGTAACACCCACGGAATTTCATAGGTGAACGTGAGCGAGAAATTCGTATCAACATCACAAATACACAAAGCTGAATTCCAGCAAAATGTTTTCACATTATCAGTTTACAATTCACGAACCATGTCCAGAACCTGCATGAATATTTTCCATTGAATTCATCGAGTTTCACCCTCGCAATTTGAATAAGTGATTCGTATCTGCACCACAAATAAGGCACATTTCATACGTTTCGTACGATTCTAGGCATACAAATTTAGGTAATATGCTTCTGCTCTATTTTGTTTTAATGCGTTTCTTTTGACGTAAACTTTAGAATTGATTTTACTTCTTAAACTGCTTACGAATAATTAAATTTTGTATCAATTCGAGTGTGGGAAGATAAAACTGAACTGTTGCAGGGTTCTCTTTCCAAAGTAAAGTCACGTGAACAAGTGTCATTCTTGATATAGTATGATTCTCTCAAATCTGCAATATTATTTCCCTGGCTTTTTACGAAGCCTCTTTTGTATATCTGTGTGCTAGCCAATGATTAAAGTCTCATTAAAAAGATATGCCATATTTTAGCAGCTCTATTTTAATTAAATTCCATCTTTAAGGTTTTTGGCATTTCCTGTTTTGAAAATTTCTAAATGGCATTGCTGCTTCATCCTTGTAAAAAGGTATTACACATTTCTATTTTTAAAACCCGAATTACAAAGTGAACT